CTTTGTTTGACAACTACCTTTTTTAAATGCATGCTGGCTATTAATTATATTAATTTATTTTCTATCCCATCTATATGATGAGGAGTGAAGACCTCAATCCTTTTTTACATTTGCTTTACACCAGTCAACTGATACCATGCCAATCATCTTTCTCCTAAAGCGTCTTAGAAAGAACTCAGCTTACTTCTTTGAGGGCTCCGAGTATAAGCCATCTGGCCTGGAAGCTTTACCTGCATTTACTTTGTATAATAACTTTCTGCTATCCTTGTAACAAACTCATCCTGACCCACCTACAGAGAGTCAAGGACCAAATGAAGGCAAGGCCATAATATGTAAAAGGCATAATCTAACTGTTGCAAAAAAAAATAATGCACCCACCTTAATATAAAAAACAAAACAAACAACATATATATATATATTTTTATTTTTTTGCATTGGAGCCTGTAAAGCATTCACTTTATTGCGGGTGCAATGCTCGGGCTCCTGCAGACTGTTTCCGCAGCCCCAGGTCCATATCGAGGTACGGACCTTCTGTTGTGGGGCTGGAGGATGTAATCAGTGGACTTGTATTGCGGTACCTCGGTACAGACAGGGATGAGAGGAAAAAACTGCTGGAGCCAGAGCTTTGCCCCTGCGATCCGCTTGATGAATGCTTTACTGGCTCCAATGCAAAAAAATAATAAATTCAATTTGTTTTCTTTTAGGAAGATGTGGGCATGTATTAATCTTTTGAAAAGGTGGATTTTACCATTAAGATACCATTCAGTATTCTAGTAGCCTTAAATATTTAACAACCAAGGATTTATTTCTGCTGAGAAGTAAGCTGACAAAGCACATGATTTAATAAAGCACGGGTCAAAGTTGTGGAATCTAAAACAGTTGCTTTGTCATCCTTCTCCTCACCCGATGATTACCGCTTCACAGCTTGGGCAGATGAAACCAGATCCAATCTATAGAGCAGCTGGAACTTAAAAAAGTTCCCTATGACTTGCAAAACAATGGCAATTGTTTATTAAACAGCACTAAATATATAAAACACGTACCTCATTACTAGCTAGCAATGGATAAGAGTCAGTCACCTGTGGAAGCCCTGCTTCATTATTCTAAATAGTGAAATATGATGGCTTCACTTTAGAACAGATATTTAAGAAATATAACCCAGTAGGGTAAAAGTGAATATGGATTTCGAATGTTGTTGTTATAAGTAAACACAGAAATCTCCCCTCAGTTCCTATGCTGAAACCCATGGTCACCAGGGACAGCGTGCTTCTCTATTGGGGAAATTTCCCCTAGATTTCTAAGCTGAAGACTGTGGTCACCAGAGACAGAGTGTCTCTATGGGGGAAATTTTCCCTCAGTTCCTATGCTGAAGACCGTGGTCAACAGAGGCAGCATTTGTTTTTTATTGGTGGAGACTGCCCCTCAGTTCCTAAGCTGAAGACCATGGTCACAAGAGACAGCATTTGTTTTAATGGTGGAGATTGCCCCTCAGTTTCTATGCTTAAGACCGTGGTCACCAGAGACAGCTTGTGTTTCTATGGGGTATATTTCCCCTACAGAGACACTGGTGGCAGTAAATAATAGGTATACACCTTAGTCAACTCCATCCAAAACAAAAAAATAAATAAAAAATGTGGCCTTGGTTGAAGCTTACCTCAAAGTAAATATCAAGCTTCTGCAGAACTAGTAAAAAAAAGTACACAAAATGACATATAAAATGGATATTGTAAATCTTTATTTCTTGGACTCTTTTCCATCTGTCAGAGAGAAGGCTGAATTGTTTAATTGCTGCAACTTAGTAACAGAGTGCAGCCTAATGATATGGAAGTCGGTGAACACCTCTCTTTCAATCGTTCAATGATAACCATCCTGCAAGTAAAGTATGTTTTGCTGGCCAAATTTCCGCTCTGCTTCACCTCAGCTCTACATGACCTTCAGGATTGGACACAGCAACCTTCACAATGCTTACAGAAGTAAACAGTAGATAAATGAGCCATCTATTAAAAAGTCAATGACATGCACAGCAGGTGTTTATCAACAAAACCTCTCTATGTTCAAGTGCTGAACGATCGAATCGTCAATGGGGACTTCCCATACCTGAAGATCACACTTTGTTCTCAAGAGCTTTCCTTCACACAGGTTCAACAAACAGCAAACTCATCAACATTTAACCAGATAAGAGGCAAGAGCAAAGCCATAGAGAGGCAACACAGGCTTAGTAAAATACACCCATGTCTACCTATGGGTATAAAGTGAGCGATTTATAAAAATCAGCAAATCAGCTTGCTGTTTCTGTCACCAAAGGACTACTGGTACATGTGACAAATCACTTATTATTAAAGGGTTAGTTCACCTTTCTATAAAAAATAAAGAAAAAAATAGCCTATGCAGATACGCAGTCCGAGTCCTGTGATGTTGGAGATGATCATGCAATGGCTGGCTCATCCTTGAAAAGGGAGGAATAGAAATGTGCAAAATATAGGCAGTTTTTCAGGTGACTTTGGTGAGGCTGCAAATGGCCTATAGGTATGACAGGTCCATTACTAAAGATTTTTAAAAGCTGCTTCATTTTTATTAACTACTTCTTCTTAACTGCACGGTTTATTATTTTTACAAAGATTATCCTTTAGGCCTCATTCACACTATGTTAAGTTGGGCCGTACACGTCCGTGTGGCGTGCACGCCCGTATAGGGCCGTTCCTGGGAGGGACAGGTGCTGCGTGTGTTTACACGCAGCAGCCTGTTCTTCCCTATGGGAGGATGCGGCTGTACGCTGTCACACGAACTGCACATCCCCAATGGGACACAGACAGCAGAATAAATAGAGGATCTGGGATATAGCCCCTGGCTGTTATGCCGAGCCTTTGATTTTGATACATTGCGATTCACAGACCTGGAACGTCAGTGAAGTCAGTGTAGAGTCAGAAGTCCTTATCTTTATACGTGCTCTGGGTTACACACCACAATGGTCAAGTAACTAACATTCCCTGAATGAGGGTTCCACAATCGCTCCCTCCACGTTTCCCACAGAAAAGGTTCCCTATCAATAAATGATAATACATAAAATTGACACACTACCAATCAGGTTTACTCTTATAATGTATTCATTGCTAAGTTGAGTTCTGGTGTCCAACCTACAGCCAAGGTTATCCTTGCCTAGGTGCTTACTCAGGGACAGTGAAGGACAATAATCAATCAACTGCTTTCTACCATTTCACCATTTCTTTTTAGTATTTCTGCATTTTTTCTGATCCTTTACTCTGCTCTTTTTGAAAGGAATAATAAATGTGGTTCCAAAATCTTTTTTTAAGGGGACTATCACTTGTACTATGTCCTCCGTCTGTCTTCTGCAGTATGCCCCCAGTCTCCAACCATATTATTTAGCATGCCCACATCCTCTGACTATTTCCTGCACTATTTCCAGTCTCTGACCATTTGTTTGTAGAATTACATGTACCAAACAGTGGCAGTGATTCAATATAGCCTCTGTGACATAGTTCTGACGTTACTCTTGTTTTAGGAAATGTAGTGCCAAATTCATGTAAGTCTTGCAACAGTTTTCTTGCCTATTCCATCACGTACAACAAATTCAAGTCGTTCTTGTTTGTAACTGTTTCCTAATATGTCACTATGGCCCAGACCATTACCACCAGATCGGAAATAAGAAAATGGAGGTTAAGAGGACCAATGCCATTTTGGAGTAACACTCCCTGGCACTGGTTTCTAGGGAGCTGTCAACAGCAAAGCATCCTTGGTTGCTATGATGCTTTTGGCTGCACATTATCCTTGGTTGCTATGAAGCTGTCAGTTGCACAGTATTTCTGGTTGGCATGGACGCTGTAGAGGCACACAGCACCATAGCAACCTATGATGCTGTGCAGCTGACACCATCATAAAATCAAGGACACTGTGCAGCCAACAGCATCATAGCAACCAAGAATACTGTGTTGCTGATGGCATCATAGTAACCAAGGCCGCTATGCAGCCATCAGCATCCTAGCAACCAAGGACACAGTGCGGCCCACAGGCTGGACATGCACTGAGGGTGGGGTGTCTGTGGTACGGACACTCCGGCCTCAATGTCTCCCCCCACCATTTCTACGCATGGCAAATTGATGTACCTATCCGAAAAGGTATATAAATAAGTCACAGGCACTGCCATACACTTTGTGAATTCCAGGGATTATGAGTGGCCCTTTGTTGATGTCAGTCATCTATACCAGCACTGGTTTAGAGTCTTCCGTATAAATATGTATAACAAGCTGAGAGGAACCCGAGAACAATGTCTACTCAGGGGTGGGCAAACTCTGGCCCTCCAGGTGTGGTGAAACTACAAATCCCATAACATATCTGTCTACAGGAGTCCTGCCTGTGGCTGGGAGAATCTTGCAATGCCGCATGGGATTTGTAGTTCCACAACAGCTGGAGGGCCAGAGTTTGCCTCACAGACCCACTACCCGTCTACATACAAAGCACCTAAAGATGCCCATCTGCAACGTGCAGGTTCATAAACCAGACAAACCCAAAACAACCTGCTACAATGATGACACCCTCTGGATTTACACTTTGCCATTACTGTATAAAATGTTTTCTAAAGAGAGACTGGAGCAGAGCACACCCGACCAGTACAGCAATAAACACCAAATCTCAGGTACAATAAGCACCTCCATGTGCAGACTGGATACACCCACCTGTCACTTCACTATAGACAAATAGAGATGGACCACAATAAATCCCACACAGCTCTACAGCCGATCATACACTATACAACGTGATCGTACAATCTCTGTACAATGACCAAATCTTTATAAAACAATCCATTCAATCAGAATTAAAGCAGACAAGTCTTTGTAGCACACGGTGTTAGATCCAAAGGAGATTGTATAGTAGCATATGGCTTCCGATACAATAAATGACAGCTCCGCACAATACAGGACCATCCAATGTCATGACATAGCTGATCCCTGTGATTGATACAGATGCCGGAGGATCGGACTTACCAGAAAGCGGGTAGATCCTGTCCCCTGATCGATGGCCCCAACTAGTGGTCCCAGGGCGATTCTATTGGAGGCAGCCATTCTCCTTGTAGTGTGACCCGGGGTGACTGCTCGGCCTCTGTACTGCACGCTTCACCGGGAGCGCCTGGCTTACACATAACCATGCCACAGAGCCCGTGACGTCGCTGGGCGCTGACCCGGCTCAGCCAATCAGCAGCGGGGGGTGTGCGAGCGTCGGCGTCACCCGGCTTCCCACTGGCTCTTCATGAATGTTGGCCTCTCGTCTGTGTGTATGTGTGTGTGTGACGTCATGCAGCAGGCAGCCAAAGGCTAAGCGCCAGTGTGCCTAGTGTGTTCACTGTGATCATGTGTGCTGTGCTGTGTCTCTTAGACTTTCCATTGTCCTACTGGTGTGTTTCATGTTCACATTTTTCTTATAGATCAATTGAAAGAACACACCTAGAGAAAACTAGAGCCAACATTGTTTTTCCTTTTGGATAGAGGAAGTAAGTCCCATTCAGAACTGTGTGCCCCGGAATGATTCATGCATTCATTCCCAATTGCACCGCAAACATGCCTGCACGTGTGTTGTAGGGTGTCAAAACCAGAGGGGAATTTATCAAAACTGGAGCAGACAAAATCTGGAGCAGTTCTTTCAGGGCCTGTTCACACGACGTCCGTTTTCTGTGCTGACCTGATCCGTACGCTCCTGCACTTAAAATGCATCCCAATGTATCCCTATGTGTTTTATGGGCTACAGTTCTCACGTGCGCCGCTAGTTCAGCTTATGACAGAAAAAATACTGCATGTCACATTTTGTCCGGTCCGGAAAGGCACGAACGCTGCAAAAACGCAACGAAAGCGGAACGCAATGCAGCTAAGCAAAAAAAAAATAGTATTCTTGCTCCACTTTTTATGATGTCATACGACATACGAGTAAAGGAAAAAAATGTATCCGGGTGACCTCGCAAATCCTCATACAAACTCCAGAACTGACCCTTGGAGTCCCGGAGCCTCAAGATCGGGTGTACCCAATAACGACACCTCCTGCGGGCTCATTCTCTGCAGATTGCTGTAGCCAGCACCATCAACATGCCTGCACACTTGTGATACATGTCTGATCACCAGCTTTACATTCGCAAAGGGAAGTAGATGTTCCGAGAGGGCGGAAGTGACACAGAGGAAGAATCTGCATACTGACAGCCCCACGGCTAAAAAAAATAAATAAAATGAGCTGTCAGCATCCGGACCGAAAACGCATCAAAAACGCACTGCATCAGTAGCACCGCGTCTGCAGATCCGCACCTGATCAGGACCTGATATCATGTGAACAAGCCATCAGAGCAGTTCTAGCTTTCATTTTCAAAGCTAAACTGAACATGTACCTGAACAACTCCAACTCTCTCAGCTTAGCTTCCTTCCTGTCCAGTATAAGATCACAAGGGACAGCACAGTCTCCAGCAACTGTTCATCTACTGGCTTGGAGGAGGGAGGAGAGGAGCCAGGGGGAGGGATGGAGTGGCTTGCTTTGATGTGCCTATGTGGAGACACACACAGCTTAGTAGCACACATAAGGGTGGCTCCATAGGACCTTGCAAGGGAAATAACCACCCTAAATGCTCTGGAGACCGGATGATTCTGCAGGAAACTAAAACTATTAGACATCAAAGACACCATCCACTCAGTGGCGTCACAAGGGGGGAGCGGCCTGCACCCAGGTGTCGCCATTGCAGGGGTGACACCAAAATGTGTCGCATATCCCCGGAAGCGCGCGTGTCATGCTCCTGCGCAATTAGGGCCATCAGGTGTGGGCCTTGCTGGAGGAGGCTCCCAGCACACACCTTGAGTCTCTCTCGCCTGCCATTGGTTCCCGGGGAAGGAAGCCTCCTGGTTTCCTCGGTGACCGGGGGGTGGTCTTACCTCCCCTGGCTATAAAAACCTGGCCTGAGCTCTGGCTTATTGCTGAGTTATTCCACCTTATGGTGAACACCTAGCCTCCCTGTTGTTACCTGTTGCCCCTTTCGTTGTACTTCCCGATTACTGAACCCTTGGGCTGTCTATCGCCTCTGAGCCATCGCTGCCTGCCTCGACCCGGACTGGACTTTGACTACTCTCTTGGATTAAGTGACACTAAACTGAGGAGTTAAAGGAGTAAAATGTCCTCCCGTAACCCTAAGGCCCCATTCACACTGAGTGATTTATCGCACGGTAATTCCCGCGATATCGCTCTCCAATGCATCCCAATGGGGCTCTGTCCGTCGCTGTCGCGGGTCGTGCGTCGCTACAGCAGGACCCTTTTTGGAGCAGATTTTGCCGCGATTCTAGCTTGCTCAATGCAAGCATTTGCGCGATATCGTGCAAAATGCAAATCGCGCGACAAACGTGCGATTTGCAAATCGCTCAATGTGAATGGGGCCTTAAGAGACCTATGGGATAAAAAGTTTACCCCATAGTTCTCTTTTAAATCTTAATACATTCAAGTGCCCTAAATATTAACAAACATGAAGATTATTTATTAGACATGTGCGCTGGAAAAAGATTTGTTTCATTTTGTTTCGTTTCGGATGTTTTGTTATTTGTTTTTCAGGATTCGGGGGTCTGAAAGTCAATTTGTTTCGGCATTCGGATGAATTTGAATTTTCGTTCATTTAGGATGACTTAAATGATAATCACAAACTAAACTTTGTTGCAGAAAAGTGACTTTAAATGTTTCATTTGTTTCTTTTTTATTTCTGACACTCCACAGAAACAAGAAAAAAAAACCAGAGTGGTGTGCCCCAACAATTCGTACCAGACCCCTTAGGTCTGAAGGGGTTTTAAGGGGGAACCCCAACACCAAAAAAGAGGGGGGGGGAAGTGGGGTCCCCCCTGAAATCCAATACCAGACCCTTAATTTGGGCAGCAGCCTGGTAGGGCAGGAAAGGGGGAGGCGAGTGAGCACAGGGAGCCGCCCTCAAACACCCCCCCCCC